TACACTTATATTCCCTTTATTTGTGTCTCAACACTCATCCTTCCATCCCTGCCAAAGAAAAATCTCTCATTGTCTTCCCCAACTTCTTAGCCGCACTAGTTGGAATAAAGAAGAGAGACAACAAGTAGGTAGGAAGAGAAGACAAAACACTTTTTAATAGCATAAGTTTCCTTCCCTTTGAAAGATACCTTGATTTCCAAGAGGCAAGTTTCCTTTCCATTCTTTCCATCACCGGGTCCCAAATCTTCTTAGAAGTGCATTTTTCCCCAAGCGGCATCCCCAAGTACTTTGTTGGCAATTTTCCAACCTTGCATCCTACAGTATGTGCCATTACTTCCATGTTTGGACCATTCCCCACTGCCATTAGCTCACTTTTATGCATATTGACTTTCAGGCCAGAGACCACTTCAAACCAAATCAAAATCATTCTGATTTTTTCCACCTGATTTTTTGCTGCATTGACAAAGAAAAGAGTATCATCAGCATACTGCAGCAGTGCTATCTCCACTTCTTGACCCACCTTGGAGCCTTCAAGTACTCCTTCCACTGTCTTATTCACCATCATACTTAGAGCTTCCGATACACAAATAAATAGTAAGGGAGAGAGGGGGTCCCCTTGCCTTAGACCCCTCAAGTTTTGAAATCTGCCTACTGAAACACCATTTACCAAGATAGAGAAGCTGGCTGTTGTTACACACCTTTATCCAATTCCTCCACCTCCTAATCCAAAAACTCCCAATTTACATGGTCGTACGCCTTTTCCATGTCCACTCTGAGCAATTCCCCCTCCTCCCCACTTTTGGAGTCGATGAGTTCATTTGCCACTAGAATGCCATCGATAATTTGCCTCCCATCTACAAACACTCCCTGAGATTCTGATATTAGTTTTCCCATTACCCTCTCATTCTTTTAGCTAACACCTTTGCCACCACTTTATAGACACTGCTAACAAGGCTTATTGGTCTGAAATCTTTCAATCCCATCGCCCCTTTCTTCTTGGTAATTAAAGCCAAAAAAGTAGAGTTTACACTTCTTTCGAACGCCCCATTCTGATGGAACTCCTAGAAAACTTTCATTAGGTCCTCTTTCATGAAACTCCAACTTCTTTTAAAATATTCCATTGTGAATCCATCTGGATCTGGTGCTTTGTCACCTTCCATTTCCTCAATTGCGGCTCTTATTTCCTCTTCTGAGAACACTGCTTCCAGGGGTTACTTAATGAAGTAACACAACACACAGGCAAGCGTTATATAGTGGCATCTGTTGTAGAATTCCTACCTATCCTGTTCTTTAAGGTTTCAGTTATCTGTTATTTCTTGTGTATTCTTACATATATACATTTGAAGGTTGCTGTGGTTCTTTTCATCATTTGTTAAGCTCAGGTAGAATTGATTGCATGTGGGTTGTTTAGCAAATCATTGAAAACCTGGTTATAATTTATAAATGACTCGAGATTTCAGAAAGTTTACAAGGTAGAACTTGGTTATGATTTTTTCCCAATGGTGAAGTCCAGGTAGAACTGGATGCATTTGAGGAGTTTTGCATATCATGGAAAACTTGGTTCTGATTTATAAATCTGAAGACTTGTCTGAATTTCTTTGAGAAGTCAGTAGGTTTAAAAGGTAGTTGTGTCTTTTTATCATTTTCATGACTGAATGGAATAAAACCTTTAAACCACTTGGAGTCCAGAAGTAGCACTACGGAGGCWTATATGTAATTTCAATTTTTTTTTTGAGCAGAGGTAAAATATAATTGTATTGATGTAAAAGGTCCTTTGTACAAAGGGAAGCTGTACACACCAAATCAGAAGGACCTCAAAAGAAGGTCATCCTCAAAAAATTACAATCAGAAGTAACCTCTTTAAAGTCAGTAAATATAGACAACCAACTTCTAACACAACCTGAAGCCGTATCGATGACTAAAGCTTCAGTAGAGGTTTTAAGATCAAAGACCCTGCTCTTCCTTTCTGTCCAAACCGCCCACATAATTTCTAAGGGAATAGAAGACCAGCAAATCTTTCCTTTCTTAGTCATCCCTTGGATCTGCCAAGCTTCCAGGCGGGCTTTAACTGAGGCTGCCAGCTAGAATGGTGATAAGTAACCATATACCCATAAAATTAATGTGCAGGGTAATAGCATAGAAGGCACACCAGCTAACCATCTATCAAGATAATTTCTTTTCCTTGATCTGAATTGCCACTAGTAGATAATTTGTTTCAAAGCCCAGAAGATTAATTAGTCCCTAAGGGCTTGTATGCTCTGACTCATTCCTGCACCTGGCCACCATCCCATTGAATGGTGTTTGGCCCATTTGTGCATGCAACCATCATGGGGAAGGGTTTCACTTAAAACCACCTAATGTTCATTCTTTTTGTCTGCATGGATTTGCAACATTGGAACCAAGTTCATGGTAGAAAACCTTCGCTAACTTGGGAGCTCTAACTGTGGAAGTTACAATACTAGTATTTTATGCACTAGTCTTTGACATCCAAAGGAATAGTTGGGCATTGAATGAATTAATTTAATTTCAAAATTTCCCCTTATACCCACTATGAGTCATAAGAAAAATGTTTAATAAAAATAGGGTAGGTCATTTTAGGATTGACTTATCTCTCTCTCTCTCTCTCTCTCTCTCCCCTCCCCAACATTCCGGACTTCCAGTGACCACTGCATTTTATGTGATGATTTAATGCTTCGCAAGTCGAATTTAATGATTCAGTTCATGGTTTCCAAAAKGGCTGTGAAATAATTTATTGAACTATTTAGCTCTGTTTCTATGTTTAAATGTGTGAAGCGTTACTGCAGCAGTATTGTTGTATCGTTAAATTAATAAATGTAAACTATCTAATGTCCCAGTGACCTTTGTTTGCAGGCACTTTATGAGTTGGGAGAGTTCTTGGCGAGCAGTGTTAACTTGTGCTTTTTGAGGGATAGAATTCATTGGAATCCAACAAAGAAGCAGAGGGACAATTTGGAGCCATGGCGAGCACTGTATGGTTAAAACTTCGTTTGTGATAACGAACAAGATTTAAAAGGCAGCCTTTCATTTGATGAACCAGGTTCTGGACGGTTTACTGAAAAGAGTTTTGGGTCTTCATCAAGTTCCCATCTTTTTTCTTGCATTTGTCTTCTTTTTACCCCACCTTTTTTTTTTCGAATATCTATCAAGTCTTTATACAAACCTTCTCTTCTAGGAATTTCTTTTTTGGCTTCAGGCAGCATTAACTCTTTTCACGTGTGACTCTTTTGGCTACACATTTTCAATACAGGGGATGATCTGAGTCCGGATCTTGTCCCAAAACAGGGTCTCAACTGTCTCTCCCAACTGCAATCCCAGCTGAAACATTTCGCCATGAAGGACAAGAGAGATGTTACCAATGCATGGCTGCAATGGCTGTTTGTGGGACTAGATCCGAACTCAGATGATCTATCTTTTCAGTCTTCGAAGTCTCAAAATTGCCGTAGATACGCTTAATTTGTGCTCGATTTCAATTTTCTAACTCTTTTGCCAAATGTATTTTTCAAGCTTGGTATGAGAATTGAGAATTCGGACTGAAACTTGACGATTCACCTATTGGTTAAAAAGTTCTTTGCCTAAGAATTTGGCCTAAAAGATGTAGCTATAATTTGCCAAACAGTTGGTATCTTAGTTTTAGATTAATGCTTATGGTATGTTTGGTTGCAGCGACCAGGATGAGAAAATAGGAATATTTGCATAAGATTCCTATTTTCTCTCATTTGTTTTGGTTGAAACAATGGGATGGGATGTTCTTTGGTCTTCCCAGTCGAGCTTCAGACCCTCACAATTGGGTGTTTGAGTATCATCGTTTTCATCTCCAGTGAAATTAAGACATAATCTCCTCTTTTCTTTCATTGAACCATTTCTTTTTGTATTTTTTTTTTCAAAAACCTCATTGTTTTTCTTCCAAGCTGAGCTTCAGAACCCCAACTGCTAAAGAGTCCAATCATCGTCTTCTCCATCTCCAAAGAAGGTAAGACCTATCTATGCTCAATCCGTTTCTCTTCGTTAAACTTTCTTTTATTTTTTTTTGTTGTTTGTATTTTTTCTCCAAAACTTCGTTGCTTTTCTTCCCATCCTTGATTTCTTAGCCTTTCAAAGTCGACAACCAAATGTTGGTAGATCTACTTACACCTCTATTCTCATCGTTGCAGATCAAGCAAGTTTATAATTTTTTTCATGATATTCTGGTTAGATTTCTTGAACATCCCTGATTTCTTGGCCATCACCATCGTTGCAGATATGCTAAAACCTCTGTTGCATATCTGTTATCATTGAACCTCTACTATTAAGTAGAACGATTTATTATTGCAAATCTAAACCTTTGCTAAACTTTTGTCATCATCATTGACCATCAATACCCTTTTGGTCCAATATGATTACCGCCCCTTGGATTTACCTAATAACCAATTTGACCATCAAAATATAGGAGACAATCATGGGTGTTCATGTTCCATTGTTGTTAATGGTTGTTAATGAGGTACAGGAGATATCATAGAATGCTTTGCAAGGGTGCGCTTGTCCCCGATGCTGTACAATCTGGGCACTCCTAGCTGGCTGCGAGTTGGCTCCTTCCTGTGACGGACGGCATCTGAGAGGATGAAGAAAGTGAAGGGTTCTCGGAGAGCTCTCCCGGTGGGAACACCCCAACGGCTAAGTTAGAACTCTGGAGAAATCTCAAGAAAAAATAGAGAGTAAGAGTGCTGAGAGTGCTAGCTTCAATACCTTCGCTTCGTGAGGGTTGGGGTTCTTTTATATCAGAGTTCGGTCACATCTGGCATAACCGCCACTGCCCTAGCCGTTACTGCCAGGGCAGGCATGGCAGGCGCAGGTTGCTGCTACAGGCTGCTATTGCAAGGTACGGACTTGCTAGGCGTGTCATGCTTTTCAGAGACGGCAAGCAGAACGCCGCCTGGCAAGCAGAACGCCGCCTAGCAAGCAGAACACCGCCTGGCAAGGGATCAGAGCCCTGCCACCGGATTCGACAGGTACGGATGGCAAGGCAGGTCTCCCTGCAGCCTGCCGAGCTATGATACACCGAACCACCTGGGGCAAGTTTGCCTTGCACCGAGGTGCCGAGGTGCCTGCACTGGAGGTGGGCCTTAAGCAAGTTTGAACAGGAGTCTCGACGGTGCTGCCCCAAGGTGTTTTTCCCTCGAGACACTTAGCCAAAAACCGGGGTGCTCCCTTCTTAGGAAGGGAGAGCTCGGGGTCTCTTAGGAGGAGCTCGGGCCCTGAGGGGAGTTCGAGGTCTTCCATACTTGGCGGGAGTCAAGGTTGGCCGGGTGCTAGTCCTCGGCGAGTCGCTTAACCCGCCGAGTGGCCATCGTTGGACTCGACGGGTCCCTCCCGTTGAGTCACGGTTATGCTGTTAGGATGAGCTGTTCGTTGAGGCAGGTCACGCACACGTGTCCCTATGCTACGAGGTCGGGCCAAATCACCCTCCATCAATTGCCCCCCACTCCCCGTGCTGGGGGTGCTGACCCAGCGCGGGGAGTTCACGGTGCGCCGGGTGGATTTGGCTCGGCACTTACACCACCCTGTCGGGTAACCCGCTGGCGCTCGGTTCAATAGGAGGGAAAACCCGAGCTGCGTACAACTCATGCGTAGACGTCACACGATATGGACTTTGCGGACGCCAAAAAACGCACTAAACTGATTTTACCTCGAGATCCTTGTAGCCGGTTTTCTTGAGAACCGTCAGATTGCTTCGATCTTGACCGTTGGTGCCCGGGCCTAGCGGCTATAAATAGTGGGGGACCCTGGCCATTTTCTTCCGCCACTAACTATCCTTCGTCTAGCTTAAGCTCGCGTCTAGAGTCTTCATCTCGGGTCTTCTAACACGTCCAATTCTAGTTCGGTTGCGTTTTTTCTCGGTGAGTCCCCGAGGTTCCCTTTCTTTCTTTTTTAGTTCATTTCATTCAATGTCTAGCGGGGATAGTCTCTTAGATGAGCCCGAGGTAGGCACCTCGGGTCAGGGTGACCCCGCTGTTGCCCAGCCTCCCTATGAGGCACGGGTGACCTCGGGTAGGCAGGTGTCCACCTCCCGTTGAGGTCGGGTGCCGGATTAGTTCAGTCCATCCACTATGATGTTGGAGAGACTTGAGCATCTCATCCAGCACTTCAACCTACCTCAGGAATACACCTATAGTCTTCCTACCAGCAACTTCCCTTGGAAGCACGGTCTAGATGAGATCGTGGTCTTTAGGGAGCAACTTGTCGGCGGGCTTCGTCTCCCTCTTCACCCTCTTATCCCCGAGGTGTTGAGACGTTTTAACGTCATGCTGGACCAGCTCCACCCAAACTCTATCCGAAACGTGGTCGGGACTATCTCCCTTTGTTTCGAATACAACCTTCCCTTAACTATAGATATCCTTTGTTCCATTTTGTCAATAAAGAAGAGCGCCTCGGGCGTTCTCCCCGAGCATAGGCGGACTTACTATCTGTCCCCTCGCCCGGGCTTCAAATTCTTACATAAACTCCCAAGTAAGGTCCCAGCCTAGAAGTGGGACTACTTTGTAGTCCGGAGCAGCACGGGGTGGCCCTTCCTTACTAGCTGGAGGGTGGCTACCCAAGACCTCGGCATTATTCTCGACCGGAAGACGAGGGAGACACTCCACTCATGGGCTCGAGTCGGGTTCGATCACAAAGATTACATTGCCGAAGAGAAGCTCATTCAGGTCGGTTTGAGCCTAGGTAGGTCTATTTTTACCTTAGCGTATCGCTTAATCAGCTAAGTGTTTTCAAGCTTACTAACGCTGAGCTCTATTGCAGGTCCCATGGAGGTGGAGAGGATTACCAGTCAGAGGCTCCTTTGCCAAATGAAGAAGAGGAAGAAGCGAGCCACAAAGAAGGCGCGCATAGAGCCTTCGAGTACCCCCACCCTGAAGCCTGACCTCCCACAGGTTCCCATCTCAGAGCCTGAGCTCCCACAGGCTCCCGTCTCGGAACCTGAGCTCTCACAGGCTCCTGTTTCGGAACCCGAGATCCCTAATGCCTCTCCAGTGATAGATTTGGAGGAGGACTTGCCATCTCAGGAGCCTAAGGTGGCGGCAGAGCCGGTCGCTGAGCCAGCCAAGGCTGCTGCTGAGGCTTCCGAAGAATCGGCTCATCGCGTTGCTGAGACGATGGTGTCCAGCCTAGGGAGCTAGGAGGAGGAGGAGAGCATCTTGATCCCCCACTTTAGCCTTGAAAAAAGTAAAGGGGCCGTCTACCCCGCAGAGGTTGTGAACTGGATCAATCTCACTCCTGGTCAGCTCGGGGCCCGTGCTGCAACCCACGCTATGGTGGTGAGTTCACACTCTAAGAATCATCATTTTCCCATTCTTTCGTTCTTCTCTTTGGTACTGATTGACCTCCTTTTGTCAGGTGAACACTGCCGTGCACTCGCTGACCATTCAGTCTGACAGACATCTGCAGCGGGCCCTGGCTGCTGAGGAATCATCTCGCGCATCTCACACTGATCTGAGGGTAGCTCGGTGTAAGATCCATCAGCTGGAAGGTGACGCTGAAGCTCAGAAGAGCTTCATTGAAGCTCTGTTGTCAGAAAAAGAGAAGCTAGCCCGTGAGAGGGACAGGCTGAAGGCTGAGGTGAACGGGCTCAGAGCAGGCCAGGAGGCCTTAAAGCTCGAGGTGGAGAGCCTCAAGGTGGGTYAGAAGGCTTCGCAACTCGAGGCACAGGCGCTTAAGGAAGCCAAGGGGGCCTTGGAGCACGAGGTGGAGTACCTCAAGGTTGACATTAAGGAGAAGACCGAGATCTTCGATCAAGCTCTCGGGGAGACGAAGGTTCAGGCCATCATCGACTACATCAAATCATCTAAGTTTGACGATGTGATGTCGCAGGTCTACCGTAGGGGGTTTAAGCTCAGCAGGTGGTTGATAATGCATACATACCCCGACCTCGACACAAGTGCCATCACCACCTGGAGGATCACAGACGACATGGCCCGCCAGGCCATGGATGACCCGGACTCCGAAGAGGAGGGCGGCGATGAGGAGGCTGGTGCTACCAACCTGGCTGACACCCCCGAAGAGGCCTTGAGTGAGGTCAACAAGCCCTCGAAGTAGTTGTGTGTTCCTTGTACCCTGGGCTTGCGAGCTCAGTTTTACTTTGTCTTTTTCTTGATCCTTTGTACCGAGGTTTTTGCAATGGAAACACATGTTATGTAATGAAAGTACATATTTTGTTAAGTGTTTGTGTAACTCTCTTCTGCCGAAGTGTTTGTCTTATCCCGAGCTATTGAGCTAGCGAGTTTAGTTCTTGAGGTGGGCGTCCTTTTACCGCTATCACCCCGAATTGTTTCCCTGTACTTGGTAGGGGTGACCATAAGATTTTACAACATAGGGGGACATACTAAGGCGCGTGCCTGACATGGCTACTTAGGTTGGTGTTTACCCCCGTCAGCGTATATCGAGGTAGGCTAAGCTT